AGATAAGTTCTCTCCCCTCTCATCCTTTCTTTTCCTTCCCCGCCGTCGAGAAAGAAATGAAAAACTCTGATCGCCGTAAGTCAGCGGTAATAGTAGGTAAACTAAACCTCAAACTCATATATTTCCCTTATCCTACCCTTCGAACATCCAAAACAAAACCAACCCTTCGAATCCCTAAACCCCAACCTTAAAATAAAACCCATTTTTACATTCGCGACAGGTTTTCTTATCTCTGATTAAGTAAAGTGGTCTCGGGTTGAAGACAAAAGTAAGATATTTTGTTTGGTTTCTCTCTTTTTCTTTTTCCACTGTTTTTTCTGCTCGATTTTGGTTTCCCGAAAACCCCCTCTGTTTGTTAGTTCGAAATCCTTATCTATGTTCTTTTTTTTTCGAACCCCCTTCGTCCTCATTCTTTTTTCATGAGTTTTGGTCTCCCTTATATCTCTCTGTCTGGCTCTGTTTGGTGATATATTTGGTGGTAACAGAAGGTAGGGAATGATTTCCCCTAAGCATGCATTCAAAGATCCGGATTTCCCAGGATTTTTGGATTTTAAAATGAGTTTTTTTGATTGATTTTTTTATTTGGTTTTCTGTTTTCTTTGATTTGCTAACGTTGGAGTGGTTGAATGACCGATGGAATCATCGAGAACCGATGGTCAGAATAGTGGCAGCGGTGGAAGACTTTCATCGGTGACTGGAATAGAAAACTAGGGTTTCACCAAACCCTAATTGATATGGGCCATAGTTTGGGCTTTGTTGTTGGGCTCACCGGGTCACTTGGGGCTTGCCGTGGGCTTTGGGTTTGGGTTGATTAACCCGTTTGTAAATGTGTTCAATTTGGGTTTGTATTGAAACCTACGTAAAATAATAAAAATAATATAAATATAATAATAATAATAATAATAATTATTATAAAAAATATCGGGTCGATTAGCCACAATGATCGAGTGTTTCGAGATCGATGCCAATTATATCGATTTTTTAGACTTACCTACAATGCATTAATGTTGTGAAATACTACAAGCACGTGGTCCAAATTGATGGGATATTCTTGTATGAAAAATACAAGCAAGTTTTACTATTGGCCGTTGTCCAAGATAGTAATCGCAACATTCTTCCAGTTGCTTTTTCCCTTGTTGAAGGTGAATATACAAATTCTTGGGCTTTTTTTCTCATAAACTTACACTTACATGTTTTCACGAGAGAAACAAATCTGCATCATTTCACACCTCGGGGGACAAGCTCTAACTTGGATGCAAAATGACCATGATTATCACATAAAATTAGTTGTAGATATATAAAAAATTACTGCATCAAATGAAATGTATGTAACAAGCTTTTCTCGAACTCATGGATTATTTCGTGTTACAGAAATGCCACGACCTCTTTAAGGGATTGAAGCTAGGTCATTTAGAGTTAATCTATAAAAAATGTGGTGTGACTATGGGTTTTTTCAAGCCATATCAATTTGTTCTTATACTTGTCAAGACTATAGTCGTTTTTTGGATCTCGTATACCGACTTTCAACCGTATTTAAGGTATATGAATTTGAGTTCCCCTTGATAGGTAATGAAAAAAACCCATACGAGATTCATAATTGGCTTACGATTATACTAGATTCGTTCTTATTATGGGAGGTATGTCATCCAAAATCAATTCGAATTCATTATGATATAGATATTCAAGAGGCGTCCAAAGAAAACAAAAGATGTGGGCATTGTAGAAACTTAGGCCACAATAAGAAAAAATGTCAATCTCTTTTATCATCACGTAACCATAGAGCATCACCATGCAATTGCAGTTTCTAAAATCTCAGTTTGTGTTATTTCATTTTCGTTTACTTTCAATTAATACCATTTGAGCATCACCAAATAAATAGAAACAATAAATACATTAAGAAAATTAAATAAATACATTACAAACTAAAATAAACAAACAAAAAGCTCCATAATTCATTACATTTGCTGATAAACAAACAAAATAAATAAAAATTCTATCGATGTATGCGTCTTGAATGTGTTCCATAGGGTGGTGGTTGTCTATTTCAATGAGGGTTTATTCATATAACTCACTTTCCTCCTTACTCTCATCATCATTATCATCATCAGTAATAGCAGCTACATTTTGTTGATGAGGGACGGATGACGATGTAATACCTCCATAGAATAAGAACCCTGGAGGCGTATGACTAACCATCCCAATGCTCATAGAGAACTGGAAAAACTGTGAAAACATTGACGATTGCGATTCATACTGAGCCGGAGGTGTCTATGCATGTGGTGAAGCACCACCTGCCAAATAAGCATTATATAAATCCCATGCTGGATCCATAAACATGCTAGTATAATATCCGCCAAGAGGTGTTATAAAACCCTGCGGTGGTGGCATCTGAAATGATTGCAGTGCCATTTGAGCTGATGGTGGACCAATGTATAGTAACAAGCTAGGAATGTAAACTGGTATAGACGATGGATGCTGTGATGATTCTGTTACTGTAGTTGAGGACGAGCCGAAAACTCATGTTCTCCGTTTACAAGTCAGGGGATGATGATGTTGTGATTGTGGATGTTTTTCTCAATGCCGATGAATGCTCTCGCCTCATGCTTCCTCAGAAAGTAGGAATGACTTCCCGTTCGTATTGAACCACTGATAATAGTCAGTCACAATTTACTAATGATTCACATAAATTGGCTTCGTATGAGGAATGCGTTGAGGTTAATTCTCCTATATCATTATCCACTCGCTGTGCTTGATCAGCCAGTTGACATCCTTTTTGCCCCATCTATCGACGTTGTGTATATTGTTGAGATTTTTAGGTGCTTCAAGAATATATTGTACGAAGCCAAGTTAGCGGAACACGCGATCGGTAGGATGCCACTCGACAATAGCATAACATATTATAGAGACTACCGCTATCCATACATCTAATGAGCCATTTAAGTGAGGTGGGATGCAAAGCCTCATTTCTTCAGTAGAATAAGGAGCCTATTGAAACTAAAACAAATATATATAATTTTTATAAAAATAATACTATAATTATATAATGATAATTAAAGGTAAATAATAAAATTTAAATACATACCTCTGTACCAGCCTTCTGATCAATGAGTAGCCGAATTTCTTCAAATTTGTCTAGTATATCACGATGATTTTTCCTTGTACATGACCACTTATTCAATGTAAAAAAACATTTCATTATATACTCAAAAAATTATTTATATACGAACTCAATATTGAAATTACCTCAACAATAACTAGAAGACCAACGAGATATTCACAACCGGACATAAAAAGGGTATGCGATATCATGCCCATGACTGGAGAAGAATGAGACATCTGTCGATAACATTTTTTCGATAATCAGTTGCCCGACACATTTCTCTATATAGAAATGCCAAAAATACGGAGCCCCAACTGAGTGAGCCGGTAACGTGAAAATCTTCGAGGTGACACAACCACATACAATGAACTTGGTTACGAGATTTGTCGGTCATCAAGATCCCTCCTATAAGTTGTAATATGCAAGCCCGAGTAAATATTTTAGTCTGTTCATCAGAATAATCTTCACTCAAATGTTGAAAATTTGTAGTCAACCATTATAACGGTATTCAACCACCGTTGAAATTAGGCGAGATACCTCCAAGATACTCCTCGCACAATAAATGACAATCACTATTAACACACCAGAAATAACATCCTCATCTACCAGAAGCCCCAAATGTATTGAATAATCCTCTAGTGTAATAGTGTACTCCCCACACGGAAGATGAAATGTGTGTCTTTGGTCACTACCTCTCAATTAGTACAGAAATAAGGTTGGGTTCAAGGTTGCAATGCCCTTCATATTTCGCTATGTAACCAAATTCAACCTCGGCTAAATACGACCAGACACGACTTAATATCTCTAACTTAGCGTTACAAATAAATGGATTTAATATACAATTATTCCCTTAATTAAATAAATAGTATACAAATTAAAATATAAACTAATACTAAAATAAATAAATAAATAAAATATTTAAATAAATAAAACATTCACAATAATTAAAGTAACACACTTTAAAATTATTATCGTATCGATAAAATGACTCAGATATGATTCACAAGTAAACATAAAAACTCCTTCCATTTTATAACTACAAAAAGTAAAAAAAATAGTATAGTAAAATATAATAAAATAATAAACTATTAAATGATTATAATATAATAAAAAAAATTACCTTCTAAAAACGATAATAAAATCTATTTAATGCTTAATAAAAGGAAGAATGAGAATTTTTGATGTGATTTGAGGATTGTATGAAGGAGTATTTATAGAGGGAGGGGAAGGGTACGGACAATATTAAAAGGGTAGGTGATAATTAAGGAGAGGATGATAGACAATTGTGTTGTATTAAAAGGGTATTGATAGAGATACATCTCATAATCCGTGTCTTTTTTTATGTGTCAAATTTCTCTAAAAATATATTTCGTTAGTCGTGCCTTTTCATCTTGATGTTAGTTCTGATGTAATCCTAAGAAGGCATGCTTTCTAATCGGCGCATTATGTCTACCTATTAAAAAAAGATATTAGATCAATAATATTTAAGAAAATGATGTCTAACATATAATTATTTTATGTGAGGATGAATTGTTTTTGTGTGCGAGGGGGTTAAAACGTCAAGTTCCTTTAGTGACGTCATATCATCTTAAGACAAACCCTTACCCCTTCCCAACAAGAAGCAAACAACTCCCGTTCAGACACAGCTCCACTCTTGTCCTTTTAAGGAAATTCCTTTATTACCACTGATTAATCAAATTAAACCAACCAAAACCCACTTAAATCAAGTGTATATTCTTAATGGAGCAATGATTTAATTAATTAACCCGAACATCACTATGAATATCTATATATAAACTGTTCAGTCTGTTGCTTGAAAAAACTTATCTTGTGGGCAATAGAAAAGAAAAACAGTGAGTAAACTGAGGTTTTCTTTTAAATCTCTTATTTTACTTTTGTTTGATATATTTTTATAAATACAAGTTTCCTGGGTGGTGGTTGAAGGATGGATATTGGTGGTGGCGGTGAGGGTGAGAGTGGCGGCGGAGGGATGGTGGCAATGAGGTCATCATCGCTGTTTACAGCGTCGCAGTGGCAAGAACTGAAGCATCAAGCTTTGATCTTTAAATATATGATGGCAGGTTTGCCTGTGCCGTCTGATCTTCTGCTACCTATTCAGAAGAGCTTTGAATCCATTTCTCATAGGTTCTTTCGCCACCCTACCAGTAAGCACTGATTTATTTTATTTTCTTCATTTTTAAAAGCCTTCCATTTTCTTTTATTATTAACTTTTAGAGATTACATGTTATTTATTTATTAATTTTCTTTTGCCCTCTTTTCTGGGTTTGTGTTTTCTGATTTGAGGGGAAATTTTTTGTTTTTTCGTTTCTATTGATTAACAGGCAAGAAGAATCAGATTTTCAAGCAACGATTTCCCATGTTAATGCGTTTTAAGATGACCTTTTTGATACACAAGCAAAATCAACCGACTGAATATTTGAAAAATTCATGGAATATAAATTCCATTTTCCTTGTTTTCTCAAAGTTTGGATTAAATAACGGGCTTTGAATGCCATTAAAATCACATTTTAAGGACAAAGATTGGGTCCCTTTTCCTTGTTTTCTCAAAGTTTTGGAATATAAATTCCGAACGTGTTTTATTCTTGATATTGTTGGTGTCTTAATCATCAAACATCATATCACTTTTTCACATGTTCTATTCTTGTTCTGATATTTGCTAATTTTTTATAATGTTGCTGTGATTATTTTGTTGTTCTCATTGTTGTTGGTTTTGTACTTTTTTAACCTAGGAACATAAATTTCTTGGTGTTTTGCCACATCTGTTCCTGTTTGTTCATGAAAAGCCTTGTTTATGAATTCGATCCGAGTGTAATTTTGCAGTGGGACATTGTTCCTATTTTGGAAAGAAGGTAGATCCGGAACCAGGACGTTGTCGGAGGACCGATGGCAAGAAATGGCGTTGTTCGAAAGACGCCTCCCCGGACTCAAAGTATTGCGAGCGCCATATGCACCGTGGCCGTAACCGTTCAAGAAAGCCTGTGGAATCACAAACTATGACACAGTCATCATCTACTGTGACATCATTGACTGTTTCTGGTAGCACCACTGGTACAGGAAGCTTCCAGAGCCTTCCTTTACATGCTTTTGGCAATACACAAGTCACTGCATCCGCCACCGGTCAGTCCAATTATCATCTGGAGTCGATCCCCTATGGAATCCCGAGGAAAGATTACAGGTAAATCCACTATATGTGTTTCGCTTACCATACTTTCATTCTTAGCACATCATAGGAAAGATCAAATCATTTCATCGTCTTCCATTCATGGTAACGCCTGCACAATTCGAGAAAGGGTTAATTTTGCTTCAATACGTTATCCTTTTCGAGATGTAGATCGTTAAAAATATGGTTTGCAGTATAAGTTTCTGGTTGTTTTAGCTGTGGTAGGGATACAAGACATAATAATTGTTGGGCCCCTATCTGTTAGATTGTGTGGTAGGAGTAAAATTACAGATTGCTTCTCATTAGGATAATGGAGATCTTGCAGAAACTTTATAAAGTTTCTGTTAAACTCTGTTCCGGGCCCTGGTGTCCTCAAAGATGGACGACGAGTTCAGTTGAGTTGCTGCTGAAATTTGTTCTTCACCGACAGTTATCTTTTCTGGTCCATTTTTTGCTTTTGTTTACTCCGTGTTGTTCGCTTTTGTTCATTTCTGTTGTCTGGCGACCATGAGAAACTGTTGATAGCATGCTACCGCATGCAAACTTATCCACTTTTTATGTTTTTTACCTAATGGTATGTGTACCTTTTTGCAGAGTTTGAATTCAAGGATTGCTTATAAAATCTAGGAGAAAAAACAAAACAAAAAGGAACTACTATTTCACTCCCGAATTTTGTATTTCAGGAATATAGTTGTACAAAGCTAAAAACTGTCTTTACCGTTTAGTTTCCCAGTGTGTCGTGGTCTGCCTACTAGGTTTTAGGCTCGACATGAGGTGCGTGGTAATATATGTCTTATTACCATTGTGATCATGATTAGTCATGATGTTCAAAAACTTGATCTTGTTCCTATATTCCTACGGTGCAGATAAGGGATTCATTCCATGAAACTTTGTTAGTTTATTTCGATTTTCAGGGTTCCGGGCCCTTATGTCCATTAGTACATTGTAGAATTCCAAGTCTTGGTAAACGGAATCTTGTTTTCTGCCAAACGGAAAAAATATCAAATGTAGAACTTGCTTTTACCATTGTTGTCGGAATCTTGTTTTAAAACTATTGTGTTACCCACAATTTTTCGGGGAAAATGGTGGTGTATCCCAAGTCTGAGGCCTCACAACACGGAAAGCATTTATGGTTTTACTTTCTATATTATGATAGCAAACTTGGTAATTCATCTGTAGCCTAGGTTATTGCACATCAGTCTAATCAGATGATTTGTCTATTCATGCTGCATGTGTATTTTTGCCATGTCATATTTGTGTTTATGGTATTTTATATTTTTATAAAGTTTGATACATTAATTTTTCATATCATATATATTTTTTCCATGTCGTAGTAGTATTTGTGATCGTACGCAATTAGACCGCTCATTCATTTATATCGGTCTTTTCCCCTTAGCACGCATGCTCAACTTGCATGAGTTTTGACCTGTGCTGTTCATACTAGTTGGATATTCCAAAATTCAGTGTTATTTTATGTAGCTTCTTCGATCTTGCTTAAGTTCAAGTTTGTATCACACAAATTTATATTGCATATCATTTGTAAGAGGTTTCATGACATTTCGATTTTGTTATTCGATTCATATTGTTTGGATTCTGTCGTTTGTTTTAACTATACCTCCCTGCTACATCATCGGTAAGTTTTGATCTGATTATAAAGATGCAAAAGAGTGAATTTAGTGATCTTCTATGACTATTATCGAATGTTTTGATCTGATTGTGGTTGATCATGATTTTAATGTGTTTTACTCGATTCATTGTAACACGCAGGTATCTTCAAGGAATTAAACCCGATGCCGGTGGGCATAATATTTCCTTTGATGCTTCAGGGAGCAACCGCGACACATGGCCTCTTATGCAGTCTAGAGACTCTTTGTTTACCGAGTCAAAAACCGGTAGCCACCCGAGCTTGCAGGCTGATTACCCCCAGCATTCGTTTTTCGGTGATTTCACCTCGGGAGAAGCCGTGAAGCATGGGGGTCAATCTCTTCGACCCTTCTTTGACGAGTGGCCCAAAACCAGGGACTCCTGGTCGTCTCTTGAAGACGACAGATCAAACCAAACCTCCTTTTCAACAACCCAGTTATCGATATCCATTCCGATGGTATCATCCGACTTCTCCACAACTAGTTCTCATTCTCCCCATGGTGAGTTTCAAACTCCATAGTTCCTTCTGGTATGTCCAATTCGTCTAAACATTCGAACCCCGCATTTGAATTATGCCGCAGTTAGTTGAATGAGCGGAAATTCGAGATTTCCCGGAGGAGAAGGCCCGGAAAAGTTGTAGCTACTTGACTAATGTTGTACTCTCTGATGATTTTCCTTCAGCATGAAAACTTTTAAATCTAAATAAACATGAGCATTAAGTAATCAAATTACTTGGTACAGAATCATGCTTTGAATTTCATTTGTACTTTTATAGCAGTGTATTTAATTACGGCCCTAGCATGTTGTTTGGGATGCTAAGTATACTTGGTCGAAGGTATTAATGCTACAATTAATGGCAAACAAAGTTGTTGGGGACATTAGAAAATTCACTCGGTGATTAAAAGAATCTTTATTGTTTCTAGAGTTCAGGGGTTTGAGCACCAATAGTTGTAGCAAAGTGATTGAGCTTTTATTGTCAAATGGTAGAGAGTATTTAGAATAGATATTTTATTGTCAAATGGTTGAGAGTAATTAGAATATATACTCTTTGTAATCACTTTAATTTAATAAAAAAATATCCGTTATCAAATGGTTTAAAATATTTAGAACATATATATTTTATAATCACTTTAACTTAATAAAAAAATAATTGATGACGGGATTTTTGGTGGTGTATTAATTTCTCATTTATACTTAATATTCTATGATAGGATTTATCATTTATATTAACCGTCTTTCGTCTAACTATATATTTCATGTATGGTAACACTCATAATTTGTAATACAACTAAGAAGATAATCATATGGTGATTCATTTATCATATGTGGAAAAAGAAGTCGAATATATCATCTTGGACACGTCTATATTCCACACTCAACAAAGCCTGGGTAGTATCGAGTAGCAAAGACGCACTGTCTTTTTAGAAAGAAGAATGAGCTCCCTTCCAATGTCTCTTAAAGACAGATAAAACGAGTTTTTCCTTTCAATGACAATCCTGTTTACCTAACACTACTCTCCTAGAAACTTATTCCCGATTATCTCCAACTTTAGGTCTTCGTTTTCGCTCGGTATGACGGGTGGAAAAGATGAAGGATAGAAAACTTATTAAACGAATGATTAAAATATTCACCGCCACTTTCTTACTCAGAAGTTTAGCCATTGGATTCCATACATGAGCTTTTCTGTCCTTCATGCCAAGGAGAGCCCAAGGCTCCTCTTGGTATGATGGATGGAAAATTCGTTAATCTTAATAGCTAAACTTCAAAGTAGGAAATTGTTAGGAATGCTAACCATTTTGACTAACAAATTTTCTATCCTCCATCCTTTCCAACCTTCATATCAAGCAGAACCTGACATAAGCTTCCGAATCATAAACAAGTGTAAAATAATGTACTTTAATGCAACACAACAAACAGCGATGAAGATGAAAGCAATGTATAAAAGAAGTACCAGTCTTAAGGTTATTCATATCCAGAACGGAGCATTCACTGTAACATTCCAGGATAAGAATTCAATGTCAATGTACAGGAGAAATGGCAACAGACATTACTTCAAGATATTAGGTCAAATCTTTCGGTTATGAGATCAGTTGCCAAATTTCAGAAATTGATTTGAGGTGGTCCATTATTCTTCTGAATATCCATAAATGGGAAAACGAAAAACAATAACAAATTAACGACACTGAGTATATAAAGATGTTGACGAGTCATTAACAACCCATTACTGCACAATTGGACACAAATGCACCTGCTCGCTCCTTGACTGCAAGCACATTCCACTCTGGTCCATCCATGTTTCCGTCCTCTGGATCCCAAGAGTGTAGAATAATTACTCGATCATCACGCCCGCCATGTCCTCCAGCTCCTATTACAAGTAAACTTTTTCCACAAGCTTTAAATGCGAGTCCCCAACCATTGGAAGAGTCAGCTCTAACAGGTAGTCTCTTCACAACATTCCAGGAGTTATAAACCTTGTTATATTTCTTGACCTCATTAGTCACTTGATCAGCAAGGTAAAGCTGATTATTCACTACAGCAACTAGAGGGGGTGAACGCATAGCAGGATGAAATGCACCCGCATTGTAACCAGGATACATATTTTCTATCCTCCTCCATGATCTTGTCTCAATATTGTACTGTTCACCACAACTCAAGCAATCCGTATGACTTGACATGCCTCCAATGACATAAAATTTCCCATCCATAAAAAAGCCTGAACACAGCTTTCGAGGTAAGTTCATATCTGGCAATGTTTGCCAAGTACCAAGCTCAGAATTGTAGAGCTCAGCAGATTGTAGAACTTTTCCGTTCTTATCACTTCCCCCGGCTACAATGGCAATCTCCCCAAGGCTGCTAGAACCAAACAAACATCGAGGCAAATTCATTAGAGGGCATCTAGACCAATTGTGAGTGATCAACCTATACATCCAAATGGCAAATCCAGATAACTCACGGCCAAAAACAAGTAACTCAGTCCCTACTGCCAGAGACTCCTTGTCAGCACAAGTAAAACAGTCATCACATGGAATCCTAGGTAGTCTCATCCATTTCTGTTTCATAGGATCAAAAGCTTCCCAAGGCATCATATTACAGGCTAAATAAACCCAGTGTTCAATTATGCCAAGCTGACGTCTCAGTTTATATAAATATCCACTCCCAATAAGTGACCTAAATTTTCTGTTTAAACAGGCCATATTCGGGTAACCAGATCTGCTGCTCCAGGCCAGAATGTCCAGTGCCATGTCATCATTAAGACCTGGAATGAAACTATTATCAGACCCTTGTCCACCATGATTTTCTCGGGATCCTGCCATAATTTTAGGCTTTTTTCCATTTGATCCTATATAGCCAAAAGTTAGAGCATGCACTTCCTTGTCTAGTAAAACTTGCCCAATACCTTTCCGAATAGTCTTATTAGCTGACAGAATATATGCCAACAGATGCCAATCATCTTGCGAAATTCTTGAACTGTGGTTGAAAGATACTGGATGCTGCGATGGGACACGACCTTGCAAACCAGCCATTACTGGTGATTCATGTTCTGCCCCTTCTACTTCCATATTGGGCTTCTTAAGTGAATCCCTGAACACCATTTTAGAGATTGTGCCCTACAAAAAACTATTCTCTGAGAAAGGGGGAAAAGGATTCAATAAAAAAGTGAAAATATCAGAAAGCAAATGCACAAAATATTATCAACTATAAGAATCCTTTATTAAAATTTCCTTTATCGTCCATTTTTCAAACATATAAAATGATAGATTCCTTCTATTCTAACCATGCTTGACTTCAAAACCAAAGTTTTCCCTTCTTAGAAGGGAAAATTACTGGCAGCAAAATGTGAACAGCCATAATACAGCTAATATGCTTCTAATTATAATTTCTGTTTGTCACTAGCCAACTCAATGAAAACAAGACTACTTTCCCAAGAGCAGATAATGGTTCAATAAATTAACAATGTATATCTTCATGCATAATCTTCCTATGGTCCAAATAACAAAAGTGAACTCATACAAGGATCAAGCCTGAGCTTGGACTCTCATTGATAAGAGTTTTATTCAGGAAAAAAAGTGAATACATGCAATAAATTCTTCATGAAAGTGATACACGATATGTGCAATATTACATGATACACTCAAATCAAAGCTCAAGCCTTCGTTCATCATTGAAGTCCCCCTTTTACTCAAAAGGTGTAGGAAAAGCATATGAATAACAACTTCAAAAAACAACTCCTCGATAACCTGAAACAATTACCGTCTTTCCATCTAGAGATACTGGTTATTAATCATTCCCCGCTTCCAGAGATTGTCACTGCTTCACTCCCATAATGAATTAATTCCATGAGCAAAGTTTTATGCAAAACTAATACTAAACAATAGAGGATCTTTTAGATTTATTAGATACTTTAATGTGAAAGATGAGTTGATTCACACAACGATGATCAGCAGCATTCTAGAATAACTTACATGCATTGCCTCTCAGACAAAATTACTCAAATATCTTATAACAAGAACCAATTTAAAAGCATCAGAATAGAAATTAACCATCAATAAACTTTCTATGATTTATGGAAATATAACCATGCACTGCGAACCGTGAAGGGGGGAAATCATATCACTAACAAGTTTGATTACATCTCTGGCACATTTTGAAGCAACAGTTTGGATGATTTGGATATAGAAATAGGCTGGAGAAGCTTAAGAATATTTCAACGCGATTCTAAACAGACATATAATTACATATGTTAACTTAGTAATTCAAAATATATTCCTTTATTTCGAATCAAAATGAAAACATGACGGGCATTTTACACCACTAGTGGATAAAACTTTTTCCCCTTCTGAACACACAATTGGGCGTAGCCTTCTCTATACAGAGTCCTAATTTCTAAACATTGGAATATCACTGCCAAATGATAGGATATATGATTTAATAGTGATAATTACAGGCTAAAATTCTGAAATATCATGCAAACACACACACACACACACAGGAAGCAACAAAATCATAAGAAGCAACATGCAATCTTACTTGCAATAAATATTCTCAATAAATTTTGAAAACAAAATTAAATTAATTAAAAAATTGAGGCCAAAATCTTAGCAAATCTTAACATGCACAAATAAAGATTTTAAGTAGTAGAAGAAGAAGAAATCAACACTCACCGCGAGAGAGTCTAAAATCCGAACCGATTATTTCGCTCCCTGTAATTTCTACAAAACCCGATCTCTGACGGAAACTTCGAAACAACCAAAAAAGGGGAAAATCCTAATTCACATCACTCTCTTCGATTATCCCTAATTACCCCATTTTTTTATATTTCCTTTTCTCAAGCTTAGAAATCGCATTCTCGTCCTTCGTTAAAAAAATATAGGCTTGACTAAAAAAATAGTTTTCAAATTATACTACTAGTCACTAAATTTTAATTTTTTTATTAATTTATGTCTTTCGTGTGATGATTTAGTTATTTTAATTTCAAAAAAAATAATGAAATATCTTATTATTAAAATCCTTTTTTGATTAAAGTATCTCTCCCAAACTACAAAAAAAATCCCTTTTTTATATTAAAACCCTCAGCAACAGTCCCCTTTTTATATTAAAATCTTCCCCACATGCTACAACCCCCATCTTTTTATATTAAAATCCCTCTCACTAAGTCATAATCCCTTTTTTTAATATTAAAATCCCTTACACTAAGCAACAACCTCATTTTTATATTAAAAACCTTCCCACTAAGCCTCAATCT